GGTACGATCAAAGACGAAAAGGGTGGGTACCGAGGGTTTGGGATAGACGTGTTGAGTGACACGCGAGCAGATCGGAGCGAAGAGTATTAAAATGATTGTTAGTGTTGTTGGCATTGGTGTTGTTACTATTGTTGCTGGTGGTGTTGGTGGTGTTGTTGAGGTCGATGCTGATGTTGTTGCTATTGGTGTTGTTTTTTGTTGCTGTCGTTGTTGGTGTGTTGTTGGTGATGCTGTCGTTGATGATGTTGTTGGTATGGCTGTTGTTGGTGTTGTTGATGTTGATGTCGTTGTTGGTGTTGTTGATGGTATTGTTGTTGTTATTGTTGTTGCGTCTATTGTTGTTTGTTGTCTGTTGTCGATGTCCCGCCCGCGACCTGGCCCCCTCGAACCACCCGCGGCTATCATAGCCGGGGCCATGATATCTCAACCCAAGCCGCATCAACGATGTTGGAATCAACCCTCCCTGCACGTTCCCTCTTCATATGTCTCTACAAGAACATAGTCGATTTCGAGACATTCCCCATCTGAAGACAAGCGTCTGAGACTCCTCAATCGCACCACAAGCCCATTTCTTGGACTTCAACGCCGCGAATCAACTTGACTGCTGCGTCCTGACAACCCTACGTCGTCCCAGATCACCATTCCTGGAACCGGAATGCTGCGAATCAACGTTACTGCTGCGTCGTGACAGTCCTAAACGGCGCCAGGAGAAAAAACTCCTAGAACCCAACCGTACGAATCCTTGAACCGAGTGGTGAAGTTTAGGACAAGTGCGCGCGGCGCTAAGGCGAGTGCCACATTCTGAAAAAGGAACCGCCCTCCATCCCTGAAACTGTAGCAAACTGTTAAGACGAATGTGCGCGACGCCAGGGCGAGAGCCACAGCTTGAGAAGGATGCGCGCTCCATCCGCGAAAGTGCCGTAACATTTTAAGACGAATGCACGCGGCACGAAAGGGGAGAGCCACATTTTGAGAAGGATCCGCCCTCCATCCGTACAACTGCCGCAAACTTTTTAGATGAAGACGCGCGGCGCTCAGGCGAGAGCCCAATTTTGAAAACCACCCGCCCTCTATCCGTGAATTTGCTGTACAGTTTCAAGACGAATGTGCACGGCGCTAGCGCAAGAAGCACAGTTTGAAACCATTCGCCCTTCATCCTCGAAACTATTGCAAACTTTTACGATGAATGCGCGCGGCGCTAAGGCGAGAGCGATCGTTTGAGAAGGATCCACCTTGCGTCCTTGCAACTGTTTCGAATTTCGAGCTCCGGGATTATACATGGTGAAGAAGACTCAGGCGAAACGCCCCGCCTGCCCTACCGACACGTCCTGGGGCTGCGACAGGGAGGAGTTACTCATAAGTAACAAGGATCGAACGGAGAAGAAGGAGGAGGAGGAGGGGGAGGGAGAAGGAGGGCGAGACTACGGGGAAGAAGGTGGAGGAGGATGGCAGGGGAAGGAAGAGGATGAGGACGGGGAAGGAGGGGGAGAGCGAGGGGGATGGAGGAGGAGGACGACGACGAGAATGGTCAAACGATCATCCTGTCCCTCCTTGGTCCGCGCACATGCCTGAGGCCATGATGCGCTCAGCCCCCTCCTCCTGCCCCCACCCTCCTCGGCGCACCCGTGGAATGGCTCGCGATTTCTTGGCGAACTGTGCGTTCAGAGTTTCGGGGCCTGTGCTCTCCTCGCCACGGCCCGGCCTGTGGAAGTAGGGCGCCAGCCGTCTCTGCAGGCTGGTGGAAGGGGAAACGCCACGGCAGATGATTTGGGAATGGGCACGCGGCCGTGTCTTCCTTCCCGTCGCGGACACGAAATCAGGGACGACGCGGGGAAGGAACTAGCGGGGAAGGCGTAAGCGTCCAAATCAGACGGCACACTCGTCATTGACGGGCAGGCGTCGGCCCACGGCCCTGCATGATAGCAGGGGCGACGTGCCGCTGGCACACAAGCGATGCATCAGCCGATCCCATGCCGCTGCGCTTCGATTTCGTTCTTTGCCTCTCCACTCGCGCCTTGGACAGGAGAGCGGAGTGACGGGGCGTGCCATTGGAGGCGGAGCGTTCGAGGTGCTGGTTGCCGTCGCCAGAGACGCGGGGCGCGGCATGGCCTTACGACGGACCTTGCGTACCATCAGTCTTCATGAAGCCCTTCTGGGTCCTTTGCCGATCCCATCGAGAAGCTCCTGGCATTCCAGCACTTGGTCGGGGCGCAGTTTCTTCCCGCCATTGTCGTAGAAACGGTAACCGGGGCCAGCAGCACGTGGTGATAAGGAGAGGGGGTACAGGGGGCGCACGCAGTAAGAATTGGGCATGCCAACGGGTGCCCCACGATAGTTTCTTATCTCCCGATGCGCCCGCAGACCCCTGAGGCACCTTGCGAAGCCTAGGGTCAGGGTCGACGAAGGCTGTGCCCCATGGATTTCTTGCATCAGGAGAGGAGAAGCCACAGACACCAATATTCCTCGACTCCCAAGAAAAGATTGGAAAATATGGCAAGTGGAGGGGCAGACGAACATCCACAAACAAAAATCATGTATAGGGAATCCTGGGATCTGTGTGTATCTGCTAGTGTGCCTCTGGGCGCCTTCATTGTAGCAAGGTTTCTTACCGTAATGGCCCACTGTGGGAGCAGGGGGAGGAGGATAAGGAGCAGGAGGAGGTGACCGTCGATGCAGAGGCGGAGGCGCGGCGCCGCGGGGCGCCGCGGGGCGGCGGAGAGACGGAGGCCCAGCCTTGACGTCCGCGATGGCCTCCTTGAGGAGCGCTATCTGGCTGTCGCGCGCCTCGGCGCGGGGAGGGGGAGGAGGAGGAGGAGGAGGAGGAGGAGGAGGAGGAGGAGGAGGAGGAGGAGGAAGAGGAGGAGGAGGGGAGGAGAGGAGGAGGGGGAGGGAGGAGGAGAGGAGGAGGAGGTCCTTACGGGTGATCTGCTTTGCCCACTGGGCGTCCGCTCGTGGCGGGTTGCGGCGTCGCGTTCATGGAGGAGCAGCGGGAGGCGGGAGGGCCCAGGGCGCCGCCCAGGTGGCCGTGCGGACGCGAGCACGTGTGTTGAACTCCCTCTCGGGATTGGCCCCCCCCCCCCCCCTGGGATGGGTGAGAGAGAGAGAGAGAGAGGGAGGAGAGGAGGGAGGAGGAGGGAGGAGGGGGAGGGGAGGAGGAGGGAGGAGGAGGAGGAGGAGGAGGAGGAGGAGGAGGAGGGAGGAGGAGGAGGAGGAGGAGAGGAGGAGGAGGAGGAGGAGGAGGAGGAGGAGGAGGGAGGAGGAGGAGGAGGAGGAGGAGGAGGAGGAGGTCCTGGTGGAGGCGGTGACGGAGGATCTCAGGAGGTGGTTGGACGAGGAGCTCAGGTTGGGGAGGTGCTGCTCTTTTCCATCATCCCACGCTCTCTTCCAACTCTGCGCCTCGCTGGAATTCTTCTAGGCAGCAGCGATCTGCGTCCTTGGCCTGTTTGTTGCCGTGCTGCCTTGCTCGGCCCGCTGTCAGCGGGCGTACCGACGCTGCATTTACGGGTGCGCGCCCTCCAGCCTGCGCAAGAGAAAGGAGGAGGAGGAGGAGGAGGAGGAGGAGGAGGAGGCGGCGACCATCAACGACGACGGCGACGCCAGCGGCGGTGCCGACTGCCTGACGCCGCGCTCCCGACCGCCCTGGAGGCGGTGGCCTGTACCCATCATGGGTGTCGCGGCGGCTCTGGCGCAGCAGGCTCCGGGATGTTGCGCCCTGGCGCCACCCCCGTGCTGCCACCATCCTCTTGCTCAGATCATTGGATGCCAGGTGCTTTCGGTCGCGATCGGTAGCGATCGATCGGCATTCAAATTCGGTCGCGACCGATCGAGGAGTTTGAAGCGCAAATCGGTAGCGAACCATCTCGGAACCATCTCGCCGGTCGTGACCGAAAAAATAGATCCAGTAATCAATGATCGCGGTGCTCCGCTGGCAGGCCAGAGGCAGGCAGAGGAATGACACGCTGCACCGACACAGCTTTCCCGAGCTCCGCGCGGAATTCTCGGAGCGGCGTTGGGCCCCCGGGCGCCTGGAGCGCACCAGGGGCGGCACTCGAAGCGCCGCCAGGGGGGCCGAGCGCCGACCCGAGAAATCCATGCGGAGCTCCGAGAGCTGATGCTCACGCCGTGTTCTCTTCCTCCAGCGGTGGTGAGGAACATGCGCGCTGGCCGACATCTCGCTCGACTTTCCTCGTGTTGAGGGTGCTGTGGTCGGCGCGTTGGGGAACGCGCCGAGTTCGGCCAGATCTGGTGCTTCGGGAGGGGCCTCCAAACCTGCGGGTTTCCCGACGTCGCCCCTGCGAGCAGCGCCGACGTCGAGGCGTCATGCCCGCACGCATACCTGTGGGGCTCCAAGCACGGCTCCGTCTTCAAGGAGAGAAGATGAAGCCAGCGGAAGGCTGGCAGAAGCAAATCGATGATCGGCTCGCCGTTCTCTGTTGGCGTGCCCATCGGACGTGCGAGTTGTCTCACCCCAAAGAGATCAAAAGAGGTCGACGCTGGTGTGCCCAAGGAATTCCGGTGCTAATCATCTAAAGATGAGCGATGGCCCCTTGCGTCCTTGCGTGTTCGGCGCTGCATGTTGGCTTGCTGGTGCTGCTATTGTTGCAGCATGGGTGGCCAGGGGATCAGGGTTTTTGCATCTTTCACCCTGCATCACTACTTCTATGTTTGAGTGAACACCGCGTGCTTCGAACCCTGTCCTTCGTTTCTTGATGAATCTTTCATCCTCCTTTTCCTCGCTTCTGGCTCCGCCCCGGGTGCGGCCGCCAGCGCCGCCAACATCTGGCCGCCGGTGCCGACAGGGTTTCGGCGGGCGCACGGCATGATCTCCTCCATACCGAGGGGTGCGACGTGGTGGGCGCACGCGGGCGGCGAGTTGCTTGGCCGCCGTGGGGAGGGAGGGCGAGGGAGGGGGGGAGGAGAGGGGGAGGAAAAGAGGGACAGGGAGGAGGGAGGAGAAAGAGGGGAGGAAGGAAAGACTGGTGAGGAGGGAAGACGGGTGGATGAGGGGGGGCTCATCTGGCCGCCTTTGCGTTCGCCTGCCGCGCCGCATCCCCGGACCCATCTTGTTCATTAACCAGAAGGGGGAGATACTCATCTGGCGCGCGTACAAGGACAATGTGAGCAGAGTAGATTGGGCGAATTTCTCCAGCCAGGTTGTCGCTGCGAAGGAGAACCGCGACAAACCAGTGCATGCTATTAACGGCTGCCACTTTGTCTTCATAACAGTGGGTGATGTGGTGATCACCGCGGCGACGAAGGACAACGTCAACGTCGTGTTGGTCCTGAAATTGCTCTACAAGATGGTGGAGCTGTTCAGGTCTTACTTTGGCGGGACGTTTGACGAGAACCAGGTCCGCCAAAATTTCGTGCTCATCTACGAGCTCCTGGATGAGATCATCGACTACGGCTACCCGCAGATCCTTGAGGTTGACGTGCTTAAGAGGTATATCACGCAGGGCGGTGCCAGGTCAATCGACCTGAACGACCAGGAGCAGCTCAAGAAGATCACCGTGCAGGCAACAGGAGTGTGCTCGTGGCGGGCAGAGGGCATCAAGCATAAAAAGAACGAGGTGTACATAGACGTGGTCGAAAACGTCAACATACTGATCTCAGCTAAGAAGGAACGGTTGAGAGCCGATGTGTCTGGGCAGATCTTAGTCAAATGCATGTTGTCAGGCATGCCTCCTGGCTCCTCCTCTCTCCTCCTTCCGCCTCTTCGTATCTTCCCCACAATAACCCTCCCCGCCCTCATCCTGTTGTCAGGCATGCCCGAGTGCAAGTTCGGTATGAACGACAAATTGATCTCATCGAGCGAGCGTGGTAAGGGCCCCGTCCCAGGCATAGCAATGGATGATTACCGTTTCCACCAGTGTGTCCGCCTCTCAAAGTTTGACGTTGACCGCGAAATCACATTCATTCCGCCCGATGGCTCATTCGAGCTCATGACATACCGTATTACTGAGAATATCGAGAGCCCGTTCAAGTTGATGCCAGACGTGAAGATGATGGGCCGCAACCGATTGTCTATGAGTTTGCAGGTCAGTTCGCTTTACGATCAAAACATTACTGCCACGAGCGTGATGATCACCATCCCCTGTCCGAAGCACGCAGCAAGGGCCACCACACGTGCAGATTATGGCAAGGCGCGATTCGAGCCATCCCAGGGAGCCGTCGTCTGGAGGATCAGCAAGTTCCGAGGTGCCCGGGATCTGTTGTGATACCAAAGACGCCACCTCAATTCGTTGCATGCATGCGTGCATGCATGCATACATACATATATACATATATGCAGACATGCATACAAACAAACATACATACCTATATATACATGGCTACCTATAACTGTGTCTGTACATGTGTGTATGTATGTATATATGCGTATACGTTTCGCTAAAGCACTATCAACGGCTGCCTGCCCATTCCGCCGCCGTGTTTGAATCTTTGATCAGAGGCATCTGGGAGGCATATTGGGGTCACTTGGGAGGCACCTTAGGTACCTGTTGGGTGCGTCTCGGGGTCTTCCTGGGAACTTCTGGGGGCCTTCGTGGGGGGATCTTGGGGGCCTAAAGGCGGCTTGCGGGGCTCATCTTGGGGTGTGACGTCGCATTTCCCTTTTCGCGGGCGCCTCTTTGTGCCAGTTTGGGGACTTCTTGGGCCCCTCTAATGTGGGGGGATCGTACCTTCATGGGTGAACTTACGACCGAAATGTCGAAGTTGTAACACGCACCAGAGATGAGGTTCTTCAGGGATTGCTGCCTCCTGGGGTGGCCCCTGGACGGCCCAAGAGGCCGTCAAGGTCACCCCAGAACGGTCCTTTTGGGACCGTCTTGGATCATGTTGAAGGTTGAGGCCCGTGGCCACGCTCCCGAGGTCTCCAAGCAACACACATTCCTGAGATCGCGCCAGCACTACGAACACGGAGACCTCGGTTCTGAATTTATTGCGTGGAGACCTTGATGTCGCCAGTTCCAATGTTCGAAGACGACGATGATGATGGTCATAGTGATGGCGGCGGCGACGATGGCGACGGCGACAGCGATGACGGTGTTCATGACGACGGTGGCGATGATGACGATTTTGATGGTGATGAAGCTGATGATGGCGATGGCAGCGATGACGCTGACGATGGTGACGATGGCGATGGGTCTGGTGAGGATAATGAGGAAGTGCGCGCGCACAGAACGTCTAACATACGCTTTCTTGAACGCCCGTTAGCTGTTCACGTGGGTTTGAACGCATCTACTCTGAAATGATCGGAACACCGATGTGGTTGCAATGGGCTCGGCATGCGCACGCAGGGACGTTGACCCGCATACCATTATTTGGCAGAGTTGGTGGGTGCGCGGTGATCGTTGAATGGGTTCGGCATGCGTGCGCGTGTGGCCCACATGGCCTCGTTATACAGTGGCAGACAAACACATGTTTGTATTATGATGTTGGCAAGTGCGCGCGCAGACGTTCGATGCGTGCTGGAAGGCCATCGGCTTGTATAGGTGCCCGAACAGTTATAGCTTGACATGCCTATATAGCCCAGTGGTCAGTGACTCGTGCTGGATCGAGTTTGATATCTGTTCCTACAAAACCCACGTAGTATCTTAACGCGTGTGCATCGTATGGTGTTATTTGACATTTATGGGGTGTCGATAACGGGGCCGCCTGGGATTCTATCAGTTGGTGTACGGCTGCATGCGGCAACCCCCGCCACCGTGCCAGCGCAGCAGTACAGCAGCGCAGCAGGAATGGGACATAATTCAAGGCCCTCTCAATTTCAGACAGGTCGCTGGACTGGAGCGGGTCTTGGACATCTCTCGTTGTCCGCAGCCTCGCTCTCCGCTTCCTTTCTCCCTGTTCCTCCCCCTCCTCTTTCTTTCTCCTCGCTCCTCCGATTCCCTATCCTCCCTCCTCGATCTTGAACGCGTTGTGAAGGTTCCTCCGGGGCCTTGTCGGGCCGTCGTGGTGGCCATTGGTGGATATTTTGAGGACTTTCATGGAGGCATCCGAGGACCTCTCGGAGGCGTCTTGGGACCCTCAGAAGGGCCTTGAGGGACATGTTTGAGCCTTGGAGATGACATTGGCGGGAAAGGCGCCCAAAGCAAGTTCGAGTTCTCCCTGTCAGGGCCTTATGGATGGCCTCTTGTGCCGTCTTGGGGCAATCTTGAGCCGTCTTGGGGCCCTTTTGGGCCGTCTTGGGGCATTCGTGGGCCGTCGTGGGGCTGCCTTGGAGCCCTCTCTGGCCATCTTGGAGCCCTCCTGAGGACGTTTTTAGGCCGAGCTTTCGGAAATCCGAAAGTGTGAAGCTGTTATAATCACACTAACACATGGGAAGCAGAATGGTGCTTGTCTCTCGAGGGCGTCTTGGGAGCCTCTGGAAGGCCTCTCGGGGGGCATGTTTGGGCTTTTGGAGGCGACGATCTTGGAGGGACAGGTGTCCAAAGCCAGTTCGAGTTCTCGATATTTGGCCGTCTCGGGCCTTGCTTGCACCCTTTGGGGCCGTCTTAGAGCCCTCATGGGAACTTTTTTGGCCGTCTTAGGCGCTGGGAAGCCGGGGAAAATGAGTATGTTATAACCATGTCAAAGCGCATGCTGAATCTATGATGTTCGAATATCGATGGCGTTTGGGGAGCCTCCGTGGGCCTCTCCGGGGCATGTTTGGGTCATTGGAGGCGATCTTGGAGGGAACGCCTCCCAGCGCTTATTCGAGTTCTCCCTTGGGCACTTCTTAGGGCATTCCTGAGGGGCTCTAGGGCAGTCTTGGGGGCCTCGTAGGCCGTCTTGGGGCCGTCCATGGCAGCCTTGGGGATGTTTGGGGGCCATCTTGGGCCGTCTTGAGCCTTCTCGGGTGCATTTGAGACAGTCTGGGGCCTTCGGAAGGCGGAAAAGGAGAGCATGCTAAATTCATTCCAACATTGTCGGGGCATACATGATTTATGCTTCTCAAGGGTGCCTTGAGCTTCTGGGAGGCCTCTTGAGACGTCTTGATAGCCTCTTTGGCAGCCTTGGGGACATCTTGCGCTGTTTCCAGGGCCTGTTGGACTGTCTTGGAGGTGTGTTGGGGGCTGTTGGGCCATCTTGGAGCGAACTGAGCTCCCTTGGGGCGGCCTGGGGCTGGCTTGGAGTCGCCTGGAGGGGGGTTCAAGGAACGCTCGCGGCGAAGGGGGGGGGCCCTGGAAAGCACTGAAGAAACCTTACCAGACAAACGAGGGGAATTCTGACACGGCCACATCACGCAGGCACGGTCACAGATTTTACATGAGCGATCGTGCGAAACAATTTGCAAAACGCAGTACGCGCAGGATTGGGGAGAAGTCCAGCCTCGGCGTGTTGGGGGGAAGCCCATGATCGTGCAGGAGCAGGAATTTGCAATATTCAAACAGAGAAGTCGGAGGGCCCTGGGGTCACTCCATTCGGTGCTTACAGCACGGTTGCGGATGTATCAAGGCGAGGGGAGCGGGAAGTGTCGTACTCCTCTTCTATCTCTTGAGGCCTTTACGGGGGTCGCTCCTCACTACGACTGAATCCGCCTCGAAAGTCTGGCCAGAAGGCGCTTCAGGAGAGGTGAGGCGGACAGGGGGGAAGGAGGGGCAGGAGGAAGCACACTTCGAACCCCAAGGTAAAGTAGAGTACAAGGTGGACGCCGACGTGGAACTTGCGGACCGCGTGACAGATAAGCAGTGGGTTCGGCCGCCGATCACGATGAGCTTCGACGTGCCACAGTTCACCGCCAGCGGGTTGAGAGTTCGCTTCCTGAAGATTCAGGAGAAGAGCAACTATAAGCCAATCAAGTGGATCAGGTATCTCACCAAAGCAGGATCGTTCCAGCACCGTATATGA